GAGAGAGAGAGAGAGAGAGAGAGAGAGAGAGAGAGAGAGAGAGAGAGAGGTGGAACAAGGGGAGGAACACTGACCTTAGCCAGCGTACTCCGCGGACGTCCAAGGTGGCGGCGGGTCGCAGTAGCTGAAGAATGCACTGCATGGTGGATTGCAGCAACGGACACGACATGGTGTGCAGCCTTTTTTTTGTGCGGCGACTTGGAAAAGTATGGGGTTGGAATTCAAATTCTTAGCGCCCTCCCACTGGAGGGCATCTCAGGAAGATGCATCCCCCACAGAAGGGCAAATCGGACAGGCAGCAGGGGAAATAGGACCGCCGGTCCGGTTGGGGCATTCCAAAAAGTTGTGCCCCTCACTGACAGGGGTCTGTTCGAAAGTTCGGAGGCCCAGGGGCAAATCAGGGTAAGTCCGCCGTTGGAGGGGCAAATCGCAAATTCATGCAAAAACTTCAGGGGCATTTCGAAAATTTTCCCTTCTTTTTTCCATTTTTCATTTTTCATTTTTTGTTTTTTTGTTTTTTTTGTTTTTGTAAGTAGGGGTGCTTTCTTGGATCAAGCCTAAAAGCTTAAACCACCAGTACTTGGCTCATCTATCGGCCGTGGAAAAAAATGGAGTAGAAACATTTGTTACGTTTCTCGTCGGATGAATTTGGACGCTCCTGTAGTGGCCCGTACATTTCCTACAATCGTGGCTTGTTAACGTCGGGCACAACTTTAGGAAGTAGTACCATCTTCCCCCGAACACAACGCACCCTTATTTTGGCTGCATCAGGCCGGAAATATAGCTTGTATACATTCATTTTTAGGGTGCGTTATGTTCGGGGGAAGACGGTAGTTGTTTCGACCACCAGTTCAGGAACCAGCTAACAGAAAATTGCAGCTGGTATGGCCATGGAAAGGGTCCCGGAAAATTGCAGCCGGTCATTAGTAGCGGTGAACACGTCAATGAAATGCCGCAAAGTTTATAGGGTAGGAAGTTACTACCGTCTTCACCCGAATAGAACGGCTGGTCATTATAGCCGTATCTGGACTGACAATTGCACCAAATACGGCTATAATGACTGGGCGTTCTATTCGGGTGAAGGCGGTAGGAAATGATGTGATGATACCACAGCAAAGCCAAACAAACAGCCTGAAGAGGCTAGATGCTGGGGCTACTGAGACCGGTCATTTTAGCGGCATTTGGACTGAAAAGTCCAGATACAGGTATAACAACCGTACGTTCTATTTTCCCATTGGTGGGAAGACAATGACGCAAATTTGTGGGGAGCTTCTCTTTCTTTCTTTCTTTCTTTCTTCTTCTTCNNNNTTTTTTTTTTTTTTTTTTTTTTTTTTTTTGAAGGGAGCAGCACGTGTTGGGAAATGGGAAGGAGCTTCTCTTTTACTTGTCTGCAGCAAACGTCAGTCAGTCGGAGAGGAACATGTCTGTCCATCAGTGTGTTCTGCATGTCGGTTGCTTTGACTTTGTTGAGATCCCAACGAGTGCGGTTGACTCCGAGATTGCATGTTTTTTTTTTGTTTTTTTCCCCCCCCCTCTGCTGGAACTTGAATACGCAACTGTGACGTACTACTTAACCCCCGAATAGAACGCACAGCTATTATCACTGTATCTAGACTGGCAATTGCCCCAAATTCACAGCTATAATGACCATGCATTCTATTCGGGGGAAGACTGTTACGGACTCCGCCAGGGCTCGATCCCTGGTCTGCGGATTACCACCCGCCAACTTGCTGTATTTATTTTCTTTTTTTGTTTTTTTGTGATTCTCTTGTTTTGTTTTACTTTGTTTCTGCTTTTCCTGATTTCGAACACTTGGTGCCACCAGGCATTCTGGCCCCCAATCTCAGACTTTCTATTTTCAGTTTTGGCCCTGAGGCATTTTCACTTTCGCCCTCAGGAACGTACTCGAGTCCGGTACTGAAGTACGGACCCGAGCACAGTAGAGGCAGTTCCTTTTCAAGCCTCAGTGCTTGTGTTCCATGCGACTTGACTTCGACATTGTGTTCGTGAATTTGCCACTTTGTGACTTTGCCACTTTGCCACTTTGCCACTTTATGTCTGCGTCCGTGGAGTCGTGTCGAGTTTGTGTCGAGCTGCATGAGTGTGTGTGTGTGTGCTCTCACTCTCCCTCTCTCTCCCAGCCTCGCTGCTCTGCCTCTCCCTTGTCACAAAGACGGTAGGTACTTCTAAACCCCAAATTCCCCAATCACTTACTTGCATGCTTGCTGTAATCTTCTTAAGTGCTTGTTCTGCCTGGGACTGCTTCTCCGCAAGGAGCGTGCGCTGCTCTGCCGCCTCCCTCGATAGCTCATCCACCTTGTTTGCCGCACCGGTCAGTTTATCCAGTCCAGCCTGCAGTGAAGACGATTGTAGACAGAAAATCAAGACAAAATCATCCAAGCAATGTCAATAATTCAATAATAACCAACTGGCCTAGCCACAGTTGGTGCACCCATGAACCGTTGGGGGGTAAAAAAAAAAAAAACTGAATTTACCTGGGGATGGTCAGTTCAAAGATGATATCTCAAGGCTGCCGCCCCTTTTTTTGAAAAATAAGAAGGAAAGAAAGAAGAGGAGGAAAACATGACGAAGAAGAAGAAGAAGAAGAAGAAGAAGAAGAAGAAGAAGAAGAAGAAGAAGAAGAACAAACTTCAACAAAGAAATGTGAATAATTACAAAATCACAGACGAATATTTAAAACTTAATCAGCTTAGTAACCGATCCATGGTCCATCGCACCGTCGAAAAAAAAAAAAATACTGCCACTCCAGATATTGAGAATTTGCTCTTGTCAGGGCAGCGAATGAGGAGTCGGAAGCCTGCATCATCAGCACCGTTAGATAGGGATCCTTTCTCAGGAAGGAGGCTATCGCCTCCATTATAAACAGGTTTTTTTTTTTTTTTTTTTTTTTTTTAACCAAACAGGAAGATTGGTGCCGCCAATGGGTCTCCTTTGCCGGACCGATCTTGACATTCTGTACTTGCCCGATCGGTGTCTGCTGACCTGGACTTGTCCGATAGGTGTCCGCTGACCTGGACTTGTCCATCAGCGTCATTTTATAAATCTATATCACACTTATCTATTTTCTGAAGTTGGGCCCCACTCCCATTTTTTCCATACAGCGCTGGAGAACGTTCCAATTAACCTGATCTATCCTGGAGAACTGGAAGAAGACGCTGGAAAAGGGAGCAAAAATGGGAATACGGAGACTGGGTGACCTGGCAGCAGGAAGGAATACAAGAGGAGGCGTTCAGGGTGTTCAAAGAAAAAGGGAGGGCCCCACAGGGGACTGACTGTGCACAGACAGGTACACGGTCACACAGCAAGGGGCCATAACCACCAGGCTGGACAAGGAAGGACTCCGAAGGAGTCCAGGACCCCCCAGCGCCGGCTCAGCTGGAAGCAGTAATGAAGGTTAAGGTGGTGGAGACACAGGAATTCACCCTCCCTCCTTGAATCTACCTCATTAAACCACTAGTACCTTTGTCGGTTCGGAAAATAGTGGGCCTCCGACCCTTTCAGGAGGCCGAAACGAAACGACGGCCGCCGATCAGATTTATCTGCAACAAATCGCAGTTTCCCAGTGGGGCTGTACACTAAGTGTTTGGCTTTGTAGTTTGTTTTCTTGGTTTGAGCCTTGCGGGACTTGTAATTTGTATGTTTTGTTTGTTAGTTTTGAGTGCTATGGGACTTGATCCCTAAGTCTGTCACTACTAGTCTCTGTTTGGTAGCCTTAGGCCATTCAGCCTTTTCCTTTTGCCTTGTCATAGGTCTAGGTCCCCTTACTCCCCTGTTTCCATCTAGATGCAGATGAGTATTGGGTTGTGGCCTTTGGAGTCCATGGTACGTCTAGGCAGAGGGTAGAAGTAGCGGGCAGGAAATTTGGTTTGGTGCTTTTCACGTTTTGTTGGCTGGGGAAACTCTGCCCGTCCGTTGCTGGAGCGCTGCTGCTCTATTTTGGGCGAGGTCATCTTCTTCCTCGAAGCCCAGCCATAGCTGGGGTTGTGAAACGAAGTTGAAGATAGCACTGCTGCTATTTTGCAGCTCTGCATGAGAGCTTCCACAGGACTGTGTTGTTGGGTTCGGGTGCTGCCATCTTCCACTTGGCAGCCATATCTGCTGTTCCTCCTCTCGAGGAACTTTGTCTTCTTCGAAGTGCTGGATCAGTTATCTCCTGTGTTGTTGGGTTTCAGTGCTGCCATCTTCCACTTGGCAGCCATATCTGCTGTTCCTCCTCTCGAGGAACTTTGTCTTCTTCGAAGTGCTGGATCGGTTGTCTCCTTCTTCATCAGGACTTCCAGCGCTGCACTTCCGTGCGGGTGCTGAGCTGGCGCTGTAATCATTGGGGTTGCTGGTTCAGATTGGCACGTTGTGACAGCTGTGGGATTACTGCTGCTGCGGCAGCCATAGCCACAGGTATGAGGTGGCGAGGAGGAAGAAGAAGACTCCTGCATACTTCATTGAACACTTGTTTCTGGTTGTTCGGGGGTTGTTGTAAACGCGGTTGTGATTCTTGGAACAAGTACTCTGGATTGATTGGAGGAGGACGAGGGATTGCAGAATTGAAATTCGTTTTTCAATTCTCTGTGTGTTTTGAGCTTCCGCTGTGCATATTCTCTCTCCGGTTTTGTGTGGATTTGCCTCCTCCGAGTCTACTCTGTAATTGCATGCGTGTATGGGAACGTGTGAATTCATTGTGGACGGAAGTTCAATCAGGTACATAACATATCAACGGCAGCCGTTGTCGGGCCCGGGCTCCTAAGAGTCCGGTCCGGGACTAGGGGAAAACTTGTTGAAACTGGACGGCAAAGGTACTACTGGTTTAAGGTTCTCCAGCAGTCTGTGGCACCCCTTCATCTCCGTCTCTTGAATTCTCTTGCCGTTTTCCACCGCTTCCTTTCCTCCGACCACAGGTGTTTCACCTGCCGCACTCCATGTTCTAGCCACGTACCCCGCTTGAAATCCCGAGCTTTTAGTGGTCTGGTTTCGCCCTGGCTGTCCTTTTTTTTTTTTTTTTTTTTTTTTTTTTTGGAGGGAAGGCCACTATTAATTGTCAGCAGGGGATATTACTGTAAGTCAGTGTCAGGGAGGATAATCTATATTCTTCACTCGTGTACCTCATTCTTTCTTTTTTTTTTTTTTTTTTTTTTGGAAACAAGGCTCCAATCTATTCGTGGGGAGCAGCACGTGCTGGGAACCGGGCCCAGCGTCCCATATGGAAATTTACATAGAATTTGTGAAAATTTGAGCGCCCTGGCTTTCGTTAAGCCGTGGTTTGCAGAACAGTGGCTGGCGTAAGATCTCTTCCCTGGTCCGGGGTTCTCTGACCATGGCCAGGAAGATTTCCTCCGACTGTTTAATAAGCTGCTTCCAGTAGCTGCCTTCTCGAGCATCCCTTGGTTGAAATCCATCCCCGTACCCCTCCCTTCCCGATTTAACCCATCCTTTGCAGGTTAACCCCAGTAGAACACCTTCATGTTGGATGGAGTCCTGTATCTTGACAGTCTCCGGAGCTGCTCTAATCGAAAGGGTGTCCAGGGCCTGGCTAGAGTAGTGAGAAGCTTGATTATTCATTTAGACCGCCAACACACACCAGGTACGTGTCTCGAACCTCCCCTCATCACCTCCTCACTCCCCACCTCATGCGCCTCCTACCCGAAGACCGCCACCACCATCACCGCGCCTGCGCCCCAGCAGCCCGGCTATGGCCGCCGTGCGCCCGCTGCCTCAGCAGCACCCCTCTCATCTCAGCGCCCCGTGCGTGCGTCTGGCCCGCAGCATAGCGCAGCAGCTCATGCGCTACTGCAGCAGCATGGTCGCCTTGCCCTGCCAGGCCAGCATCCCCTGCCCCTGGGCACCCACTTTCCTATATGGAAAGTGTGCCCTGCCGTCGGCTGCTCTGGGCCCGGTGTGTAGGCGCCCAGTAGCCTCAGGTTGGACCCATGTGTCTGGGCCCAGGCCAAGTTTCAGATACTGTCCTAGGCCTCGTGCAGTTAGGCACGTCCAGGTAGCCCTCCAGGCTCCAAGTGTTTGCCGCATTCTCATTGGCTTGCGGAACATTTGTGACGACAATGCTGCATTCTCATTGGCCCGCGGCCTCTGAGTGATGTGTCGGCCTCTCGCTGCATGTGCCCAGGGACTCAACCGAATGAGCCTTGGACTCAACTGTACGATGCAGCTGCGGATTCTGGAAGGAGCCAGGGAAGGCTGACGTTGCTCTGTAACCAACTGGCGTGCTGCAACTGTCTGGTACCCCACGTACGAAAAATGTCGAAAATAGGCCTCTCGTGGATGTACAGGCCTGCCTTCACTTAGGGCGGGCACGAGGCTTGCTGGGGGCCTGAGCCCAGAACGTTGGCATGCCCGTGAAGGGCCTTGCGAAGGGCTCAATCCCCGCGTAAAAAAAAACTTTTTTTTTTTTTTGACCCGGTCGGGAAAGTGGTCCCGGGCAACTCTCGAAGCCTTGGCGGTTTTGCCGCGCCCCCCCCCCCCCCCCCCCCCCCCCCCTGCAAAAAAAAAAGAAAAAAAAAGTGGTGGTTCGCTTTTCATCTGCTGAACAAGAACAGTGACAGTCTCAGCAACCATCTTGACGTATGAGGAGATCTCCAACATTTTTTACCTTTTTTTTAGCAACAGAGACCCCATGACCGAGTAAACAAAAGCAGGAGGGGATGATAGTGGAAAGTTTGAAACCCTTTAGGGTTTAGGGTTTAGGGTTTAGGGTAGTAGGGGAAAATAGGGTAGCCTTAGGATGTAGAGTGACGGTTCAGCAGAAAAGCACAATATGACGCCAAATGGCACGGAGCGATGGGCAGAAGGCTCTGCCTTTCAGATTATTTTTTTCTTTTGAAAAAAAAGGGAAAACTGACGTTGATCGATGGACGTTGAAAAAAAAGGAATCGCGAGCTTGATGGATCGCCAATCTCCAACGGTCCAGATACGATGGATCTCCGACAACATAGATGGGATCCATGTGTAACCGGGTGGCATTCAACGTTATCGCAGTCCATCAATCAAACCAGATCCAAACCAGGTGCAAACTATATCCAAACCAGTTCCAAACTAAATCCAAACCATGTCCAAACCTGGTCCAAATCAGGTCCAAACTAGATCCAAACTAGATCCTAACCAGGTCCAAACCATTTCCAAGCTAGATCCAAACCAGGTCCAGGTGCAAATGAGGTACAAATGAGGTGCAAAACCCATCCAAAGCAGGTACAAACCAGGCAGGTCCAGAGTACATCCAAACCAGGTCCAAACTGGATCCATAGCAGGTCTTGAAAGACTCTAAACCCGATCCAAACAAACAAGTCTGATGACTTTGAAACCAGGAAACCCTGGGCATCTGTTTATCTGATGGGGTTAAGTAGACCCTCCTCCTCCCCGACCAGCTGTATTCTGTAAGCCAAAGACAGTGGCAACACTTGCAACAGGAATGCCCCAGGCCCACTGCCACTGCAAGGAGTACCGTGCCTACCGGGGCGCTGGCACTCCTTTTTCTTTTCCCATGCAACAGGTCCTGGCTCTCACATCTGAGCTCGTTCCGTTCTTCTTCTTCTTCTTCTTCTTCTTCTTCTTCTTCTTCTTCTTTTTAACCCAAAAACTGCAACTGGTTAAGCAGAAAATCTGTTCAATTGTTATCTTCAGCCAGGGGAAGGTCCGATAGCCCTGAGGGACATCACAGCCATTGAAATCCGAACGATAGGGAGGACAAAGATCCGCGTACGCTCACCCAGCCAATTTGGCTGCATGGTACACCTCTTAACTGTTGAAAAAGCTGTGGAGTAAGAAAACCTGTTTACTTAAGGGCTGGGTGAACAGACCTGGATTCGAACTCGAACTCAGGTCTGTTTACTTAGGGACATCGCAGCCATTGAAATCCCAACGATAGGGGTAAACAGACCTGAGTTCGAATCGAGATGGAATCAGATAAGTAAAATAAAAGCTGAGGTACCTGTAGGTGCTGCTTGTGCAAAAGTTTTTCAGCTTTCTTTGCACCGAAAATTTGCTTATACGCCTCCACGAAAGCAACAAACTGCTGTGGAGTGGTCTGCGTTCTCCCATGCGCTGACATGCTGTGGTGGATCGCCACCATTTTCTCACCAATGAACTTCACCATATCCCCCACAAGTCCTCCCTCTCCTTCTTCAACAAGCCTTGGTCCGCCGCTGATGTTGACGGCACCAAGCACCCGCGCTTGCGGTTTTGCAAGCTGTGTGGTGTCTTCTTCTTCCCGAGGCGATGGTGCTTCTTCCCCAGGCGATGGCATCTTTTCCGCCGCCGTCTCCAGGAAGATGTCCCGAAGCATCTTCCTCGGGACCTCCACCATTCCCTCTGCGGACCATGATTCCAGCCACTGGATCGAGCACTTGGTGAAGAAGGCCGGGTTGCTCTGACACCTCATCTCGTACTCGGGATGCGTGGGGTCCATGCTGAGCACCACATGAAGATTCGAATGCACCTGGACAGCGAAAAAAAAGTCGCACACTTAAGAAATCACGCGAGGAAACATGAGACAAGTTGCGCGACACGAAAAAAAAAATGAAAAATCACAATGTCACCTTCACAGTGTCACAAAGAAATCACATTCATGAGAATCAGATGAGGTGCGTGTTCTTTCTCATGCAAAGATTGAACTTCTTTAAAAAAAGAAAAAGAATGAAGGGAATACCTTTCTCGGCCTTTTGGCTAAGATCAAGTGTAGTATCTGTTCTGATCAGTTTAATATCTGATCCGTGGTCCATCGGACCCCAAAAAAAAAAAAAAAAAAAAAAAAAAAAAAAAAAAAAAAAAAAAAAAAAAAGAAGAAGAAGAAGAAGAAGAAGAAAAGAAAAGAAAAGAGGAGGTGTCCCATACCAACTGGCTTAGCTCAGTTGGTACACCCAACCCCCTGTTGAAATACAGATCCAAGTTCGAATCCACCTGAGATCGGGATGAGCAGAATAAAGTCTTTCTGAATTACGTGGGGCCGCTCAGCTCAATTATGATATCTCAAGGTCGTCGCCCATTTAAAAAAGGAAAAGATTAGGTGTCAAAGCAGAGCACAGTCTAGAGTCACGTCTCAAACTACCTAGACAGTCTAACAAAGAAAAGGACAATCATCAAGATCAGGCGAGGCGTCACACATTCTGGCGGCAGTGGCAGCACCTTAATGCACAGCAAAAGCACAAGCATGAGATAAGGTATATATTACACAAAATGCCAGCATCACTTAGCTGGTGTCACACACCACATGACAATTATGATCATAGCAGGAGTCATACAGAATGACAATGTCACCTGTACTGTGTCACACAACATGGCATTCAGGAGATGATCAGTGTCAGGCAAAATGTCAGTGTCACACAAAATGGCAATCAGGAGACGAGGTGTCGCACACACAAAATGACACTAATGAGATGCAATGCCATGCAAAATACCAATGCCACACAAACTAGCAATCATGAGATGAGTTGTCACACACCATGACAGTGTCACACACACAGTGACAGTAACAGTGTCCCACCCACCCACACACACACACACACACACACACACATGCAATAACAGTTTGGTGAGGTGTGCCTAATTAAAAACATACTGTTTTTCCCATTAAAAAAAAACATACTGTTTTTCAAAAGTTAAAACATAAATTCGTAATTCATAATAAACTGTTTATTTATAATTTTGTTACTTATTTATGCTATTACTTAATACTATTACTGACAATTACTGCACACTAATGGCACAGTTATTATTATTTTTAGGGGCAAGTGTGTTTCAGTCACGACCGAGGTTCGAACCGCCTAAAAACACACACACACATACCAGCAGGTCAGTCACATGCCGAGTTTGAAAACTCGATAAGAAAACACAGCGCAACTCGATAAGAAAAAGGCGGGTCCAGTCTTTTGCAGGCGGGGCGCCCTGGGGCGTGGTCCCACTAGAAAAGAGGATCGGATCGAGTGCCTGAATCTGGACGTGTTTGTAGAGAGGTGCAGGAAATCGAGATTGAACTGCTTTACAGCATCTCTGCATAAAACACATCCAGATTCAGGCATTCGATCCGATCCTCTTTGCTAGTGGGACCTCAGCCCTGGTGTGCGGACTGCCGTTTTATGTTTCTTTTGCTCGTACGGGGAACTCGCGGCGTGACAGATTTGCTTATATGATTTTTGTTTTGCCTTTGGGGCTGCGCATGATTCTTATTTTTAATACTATTATTATGAGTATTATTAGTATTATATTTCCAAGCATGGCGGGCAGGGCGTATGGTGTAGGAGTACAGTAGTACAACATTACATTAAAAAAAAAAAAGAAAAAAAAAAAGCTCAAATTTAAATTATGAAGCAATAGACCTGATGGATGGCTCATATTGCATGCTTCAAAGAATCCGAGGGAGGGCAGCGAAGGGTGCAAAGTTGCAAACACTGCAAAACGAGTGGGGAAAAAAAA